CCCCCAAAAAAAAAAAAAAAAATCTTAAACGTCCTTCCAAACACGACGAACCCTCAACGCTGAGGCTGCAGCCGAGCAGCTGCGGACGCACCCCAGCACTACCCGCGAAGCAGCCTCCCTTCGTCGTCTCGCTGCCGCACGGCGTGCTTCCAGTATTTGGTTTCGGCCCCACACACAGGCCCAAGCAAAGCCAGTGAAGAACCAGAACAAGAAGCCTCGTTTAGGGCTTGCGGTTTGCTATTTCGGTGGCGTGGCAGCGTCCGATTGCTATTTCGTTATTGCGCTCCTAGCCTCTGCCCTTGCACCGAAACATCTCCAAGCCTTGCTAGCAGCAGTCGCAAATATGCCAATGCCCGGAACGCTCAACCCAACATGGCACGACACACCGCACGAACTCAAACCAACACAACATGCAACCCGAAGAAACGACAGATCCCAAAACTCTAACAAAAGGCCTGCAAAGCGACATCAAAACGCCGCGAACCCAACAAGTGTACATGTTAGTACTTCCTGCTCCAGGAGTATACACCGAAGGACGGGATCATCTACACGAGGAAGCCTGACAGAGGACCCCCCGGTAACCCTCAAGACTACAGACCCTGGACCAAAGCCTGATTCAGCCCTGGATCCACAACACTGCCTTGCACCCTACACCACACCTGACCCTAGACAAGCCCTAACCCTGCCTAACCCAGAACCCTACACCCTGAAACCCTTTTCCCAAAACCCTCCCTAAACCCTCATTCCCTAAATCCACGCACCCAATATAGGGCCCTAACAATCAGAGCAAGGTTCCGGGGTGTCGTGTTGTATAATTGAAATCGAGACCACCTTAAGACTACTAGCACGACTCTAGAAGCAGCAGCACCAGCACCACCACGAACACGACGACTACCTTTCTTCTCAGTACTAACACTACTGTTACTAACTGTAGCTACTACGACTAGGACTACGACGGCGGCTATTACTACTACTACTACTACTACTACTACTACTACTTCTACTACTACTACTTCTACTACTACTACTACTACTACTTCTTCTTCTTCTACTGCTCCTACTATTACTTTTCCATCCCCTGGAAATCCCGGGCTGCAGCCAATGTGGCTCAAGCCAAGCAGGCCGAGCCCAAGCCAGAGCAGTCCATGAAGGATCCTTTCTTATCGGAAGAAAAGAAAGCTGGGTCTTTTTGTGTTTTTTCGTAAGAGAGCCCTTAGAACCATAGAAACCACACCGACTGTTCTTCTAATCATCCCCTTCGAAGTTGGAGGTCGAAGTGTACTGGAAATGAAAGAAATCGGGGTGTCTTTGTCTTTTGCATTGCTGAACGAGTCGCCAAAAGGAGTATTGAGGCACTTTCCAGAGATCAAAGGGAATTTAGGATTTCGGGCTGTCGGGATTGATTGGCTCAGGGGAGTTTTCCCACCCGCCCAGCCGACGATGCTAACGATGCTTTAGGTTTGAGGTATAAAGACTAGGGCTTACATGGCTTAAACAAGGGGTATGGCTAAACCTCTGAGTTGTAGATGAGGGGCCCTCAACGGTATTCGATGAGGGATGGCGTAACTAAGTCCCAAACTACCCCAGAACTTCAGGGTTCCGGCGGCATTACAGATGTAGAGAGTGGGGTCGGCCTACTGGGCTTATAAAGGATAGGAGGCATAATCTACCATGGTCTACTAACTCGAATAGGGTTTGGGGGGGTACATGCGGTACTGGAACTCTTTAAGGATGCAAGAGCGCTTGTTTTAGGTCGCAATACCTGTAATCAGGACTGATGACATCTTCTCAGGGTTGATCTAAAAATCCCATCAGTCGCATTTGAACAAACATCTCACGGCCAGGCAAGGGACCATTTCATGGACGCCCAGAAATCCGTCTGCCACTTGAAGCAGGCGTCCTAGCTTTGGGGCTTTAGGTTTTCTTGAAAAGGCATCGAGTTTCGGGCTTATGGTGAAGGCGTAAAGGGCCTTCCCGACTCTTTGCTTTGGGAGCTTCGGCGTGCTTCTCTTTCTCGGGTCGTTGGGTCGTTGGAGTGTATTTCCGGAGAGCTCCTTCATGGATTCCGTCTGCACATAGTCGCTGCATCTTCGTAGAAAGGCCAGCGAAGTGATGCACCTCAGCTTACCGCAACGTCTGCTCCCTGAGCCTTGAGGCTGCACGACGATGCATACCCAGGAAGCCCTAGTCTCCTCATAATATTTCCTTCGAATCTTAGAATATACAGGTTGTCGGAGAACCTTCCTGAAGGACTGTTGGGTGCACCAAGTGGTCGCAGTGCCGAAATATCATTGCATGATATGTAACGCTTGGCCTGGATGCTTCATCCGATCAGGGCTCTGCAGCCACCCTAGAACCGAGCCAAAGCCCTTCATCACCACGAGTCCTTGACTGTGACTACAGCCCGGTTGTACAGAAAGAGTCGTGGCTTTCTGTCCGAGATTGTGGCCGAAGAGTTAACAGTTAGTTTTTCTGCTTCGGGCATCTTGTCGGTTAGAGGAAAAAAGGGGCTGGTTGTGCTTGTCGCTTCCGTCTTCTTGCTATTGCCAGAAGTTGCCTCTGCTGCTGCCTGCTACGGAGTGCCTGCTGGGAGAGTGATAATATGCATCAAGGAAATATGCTCATGCCGAGTTGGCACAAGCACAAGGAATAGGCTTGCGCCTCACACTCGCCTGTAGTTAAAGACTAGTTTTTCCTTTACTTGAAGTACTTTACAACTTTGCAATCATATGTGGCCACTCGGAACTCGATGTTCGATGAAAGGAAATCTTAGCTTTTTACTTTTCATGGATTGGGGTTTGGGCTTTACGAGTTTACATATTTCGGGAACAATTTTTAGGCATTTGTAGAGGTTTAAGCTGAAGGTTTGACTAGCTGCCTGGTAACCTGATGACCCTGCCAAGGCACTGGTTCGTGCTATTGCACCACCCGCAGCAAGAGTGGGAGCAAGCCTCAAAGCCTTGCCGGCGCAGAGTATAGGGGTAATGGTGAGTCGGCCCATGTATCTACGCCCTACCTCCTGAACAGATGGATGTCCGCCTCGGATCGACAACAATTTTCCTTCGTGTCCTGATATCAGAAGCCCCACAGAAAGGGTGCTTTCAGAAAGGTAGGTTCTAGTATGTTTGGTTTATAGGTTTATTGATGATCAATATAACCCACCCCCCCTCGATTTTTGCACAAACGCCGATAGAGCTGGGGCCTTCTTGCCGCGTGAAGCCCCCAGAGATGGATTGGGCTCTGGCGGCTTCCCTTCTTTGTTTACACTTCGGGGATCCTAGCCCTCTTTAGGACCATCTGACAATGAGAGTTTGGGATCATAGCCCTGCTTGGGACCATCTGACAATGAGAGTTTGGAGTGGTTTAGGGCTTAGCACTATAACTATAAAGGGGCCTTCATTGGTAGACTAGGGTCCCAAAATATTGACGAGCTATGTCTAAGGAACCCGAGGCAACAGATTTGCCACGTAGTGAAGGCCGCTACGTTAGGGCCTCTTGCAGGCAGGATCCCCCTCGTCTCTTCAGTGCCGCTGGGAAGCTCTCATGGTCGCCACAAAGTGGCGGCAGAGGTAAGGCCATGGCCAGGCGGGTAAAAAATCCTAAACCGAAAAGGTCCTAAAGGCAAAATCTCTACCGTTAACTCAGGTCTGTCTGGTTAGGGCTCATGGGGTTAATAGGAAAGGACACTCCATGCTCAAAAGCCTAGGGAAGAAGCTGGGCTCTAAGGGTTGCCGGCTACCCCATGGCTGTCAGAATTAACTGGGGTTGCCCCCGGGTTCTCCCGGTGCTGGTTGTAAGGGCCAGGGCCTAGGGATTTGGCGAATCTCTAAACTCAGGGGTCCAAGGGTAGAAGTCTGCCTTTTCCTCCAAGCTGCCTTATCACCTCTGAAGGCTAACGGCCCCATGCGCACACCCTTGAATATCAGTGCAACATATAATCGTCGATTGCAAGGGTAGCTGCATAAGACGCAGCTCTCATGATGACAAGGAACCATGCGTTCATCTCGGGCCCGAAGCACTACCATCTTCCCGAGACCATGTGCCTAAATTCGCACTCCGAAGACCCCCCGGGCCTGTACACCTAAACCCTAAACCGGTGCATTTTCCAAGTTTTGATCGGCAAAGCAGAGGCGGCGAAATCAAGATTCTGATCTGGGGTTCCGCCTAGTCCGACACGCATGGTCTGGGTCGGTTAGGGTTTAGGGTTTCAGAGGCCTGCTGCTGATGTTGAGTTATGTGCGGGGTTCCCGAATTGAGGGCGGGTTGAGTGGAAGGCCCCAAGTCCGGGACCACCTTCTTCTCCCAACATTAGGATATGCAGGCTCCACCGTGAAAGCCAGTGCACCTGCTCAAAAAGGCTTGGGCTTCTCAAGAAGAGCCCCTGAACTGTTCAGGCGGCTTTGTGTTAGGATTTAGGCTATGGCATGGAGGGCCGGGACCACTGGAGATTCAAACATAACGGACCACGGTTATAAAGTCGGAAAACAAACCATCAGAGCAAGGTCCTCCTTCCAAGGACATCTTAGAAATGCAGGGATGTTGGACCCTATGGCCGATGCCAGCCTTCCGCGAAACAAATCATTAATTTAACCTATCACATGTGCATTATACAAATCCCTGCATCCTGAACCCCTCCAAATTCCAAACCCTATATCTAAAACCGAAAACCTAACTTCTGAAAAGGAGGATTCCTGAAGTGTTGGCTGCACAGAGCTCAGGGGGCAGCCTCCAAGGCAGAGATGGACTTGGCCTGCAAGCCTGTGGCATGTAAGAATTTTTGTAACATAACATATCACACTACATCATATAGTTTAATCTAATTTGATATATGTAAGGTAAGATATATTGAAATATTTCATAAGGCTGTAGAGAGTTATATAGGGGTTTAGGGTTGAGGGCTTAGAGTTTAAAGCACGCGGTCATGTGTCAACAAATCAGCTATGTATTCGTGTATGTAAGGTGCTAAAACCACGCACATAGGTACGACGTCTGGGTGGCAGGTCTTGGCTGAAGTCCTTTCTAAATTGAACTACTTCTGGCATCAGAAGGTTCGGGAGCTGCAAGTAACACCTATTCTGAGCACTATCACAGGGGTTCCTCGATCGAGTCTAAAGTCTTCATGTTGTTCTTACGCCGGCAGGGATCGACTTCTCGCGACTTAGCAGGCCCAAGCCTTCCTGTTCGAAAGACCGAAATGAGGCCTTTCACAATCATGATCTCTTCTTCGGCATGCTAGGAAACAAGAAATGTATGATGTCGAGCCCTCAAACAGCCGCATGAACTACTCAAATGAATGTAGAGCTATAGAAATCATAAGGACCGTGCGGCAATGAACTTCTCTTGGTTCGTCATGCTATCAGAACCGCCAATTATGCTGCTAATTATGATGGCCAGATGCACACAGTATTTGCTGTTCCAGATATCAACACTCACATTGAATGAACGAGCTCACCATGGGAATGGGGGAGCGGACTTGGCCGGCTGGGCAACACATCACCACTAAACACAACTCTACATGCAGAGTTTGAAAGGGTGCCTCATGTGCCGCTCCTCACAGCATCATGCCCGTGGATTTGAACGGGGCTTCTAGGAACTAAGTGGGCTTCAGAGCCCAGGGACAGGCCAAACTTCAGCACCAATGTAAAACAAGTTCTCATGTCGAGAGGGACTGCTCGCGTTATTGATACTGCCTTTCCGGAGCTCTCACCACCCACTCCAATACACGTCTGCAAGGCAAGCGGCCGTCCAGGCATGGGCACTCCGTGCATCGGAACATTCCAGGGCCTCGCCGGGCGGGGGCAGGTGACATAAACCACAGTAACATTCTACGTCGCAGTAGATGTGGCCAGTAGCAGCAAGTAGCAGCGGCAGTATTTGCAGCTGTGTGACGACTGATGGAGAGCCCACACTTTGAACCATGATGCCAAACGGATTCCGGGCTCTTGAGGCTTTGTCTCCGGGCCCCAAACCGGCTGGAGGCCAGGGCAGTGACATGTACTCTGGCAGTTCTGGGTCTTACAGGCTAAGAGGGCTTGTCACGAATCTCGAACCATGAACACTGGAACCAACAATCTTTCAAAAACAGAACCCAAGACCTTGTTGTTGGTGCTGTTGCTGCAAAACCCTGTGCACAAACCAATGCAGACCCCGCATAAGCTACTACTCAAGAAAGTTGAAAACCTACGAAATTTGATGAAGCTCGGAAGCACTCCCATGAGCAACAGGTTACCCCGCAGACGGGTTCGGCTTCTGCGCCTTGGAACGTTGGGCCCACTTGCCTCCTTTCGCATGTCACAGGTTTGGGATTTTGGCGGCTAAGGTATTCCACTTGCTTTTGCACGCCGCTTCACTCTTTCCCACCCTACACCCAAAAGTGAGCGGCTGAAGAGAACCTTGATCTGCCAAGCCGCAGAAACTTAAAGCCCCAATCCTGAAGTCCTAATCCCAAGATGGATCTAAAACCTGTGCCTTTTCCCCCAAAGCTCCAAGCATCAAAAAAGACACACTACAAAATCAAGGGGCTTGAGATCGGGTCTGACGGGGTGATTTGAAGACATCGGAAGTCAGTGTAGCGTATAGTATAGGTGGTTTAGAGTCTAGAGGGTTAAGTCCCGCAACCTTCTGCTGCGCTTTGGATATCGGTCAAACCGAGTGAACAAGACCAGAGATTACCGTAATTACAGTAAGGCATGCGTCAGAATGCTGAGATTTGCAGGTTCCTGAGTTGTTCTGAACTAGCCCCGTGGAAGCTTAACTGTCAAGGAGGGGCCGGGGCATGCCATAGTACAGGTATAGACGGACGAAAAGGAAACATTCCTGTGGATTACTAACCCTAAACCCTAAACCCTGAACCCTAAACACTAATGGCTCCTCTGCATCGTCAAGCAGGAACATCGCCGCAGCATGCTCCACCCAGACCTCTTTTCTTGGCGCTTTTATAGGGCTTCGGTTTGAGGGCTCAGGGTTTAGGGCTAGGGTCTTCAAACATGTTTAAAGCTTCACTGATTTCTTCGTTTTTGGAGTCCAAGCCTTGGAGTTTAATAAAAGGCTTAGTGGAATCGGTGGGAGTTTTACCGGATTTGATCTTCTGGTGCCCAGTGAGCAGCAGCCTAGACAGCTCGCATGGGGCTCGGTGTATTCGCAACCTTTTGAGTGTGCGGGGGGTGTGAGGGTTTATAGGGTTCAGGGATTCAAGGCTTGGGGAAGTATCTTCAGGCACATTGGGGCATATCCACCCACTCCTGCAAACGGCCTGGAAAACCATCACCAGCAAGTGCATAAATATTTAGGGCATCACATCGCATGCGAAATGCATCGCAAGAGGTACGACCTCCCCATATCACAGCAGTGGCCGTGCATTCTTCGACTGCAAAGCCAAAGCGTCTGAATGCCTGAACGCGCAACTCCTAAACTCAAAACAAGATCCAAGCTCTTCATCAATGCATCCCGATCCGCACCAGAAGAGAGGTGCTCCCAACGTCGATCCGAAAAATGCTCCCCAGATCTCCCTAGTATGTATGTATATATGTATGTATGTATATGTATGTGTATATATATAAATTAATATATATATATATATATAAATATATATATATAAGAACCCTATAATAAGAACCCCGCCCCCAGTCTCAGATCCCCTGCGATGCAGCCGCAAGCCCCAAAACTCCAAAACCCGTCTAAACCCGAAGCACTCTAGACCCTAAACCTCTAAACCCGGAACACGACGCCATTCTAAACCCCGGAAAAACCACTAAAGGGCCCCAGACCCCCGACCCGAAGTCACAAACAGCTGGAGGCAGCCTCGATGGACGCACCAACGATATCCGGAAGCTGCCCCGACTCAGCTCCTTAGCCAGTTCTCTCCGACGGTTTAGGGTTGATAGGGTTTAGGGTTTATATAGGATTAGGGTTGAGGGTTTAGGCCGGGTTTGGGTTTTATAAGATTCTCTCTCCCTCCGTGCTTTCCTTGCGAAACTGAAATTAGACCAGGGCCAAAGACGGCCAGGCTTATGAAGGTACAAACCTAGTCATGGGACCATCCCACATTTGTCCTGTCGCTTCGGACTAGTAGAAAGCCCTGTCTTCAGAATTTTAGGACTTTGGGTCGTATGAGCACATGCCGTTCTTCATGAACCTCAATGTAAGCTATACGGGGCATCTTGCCAGCGCTTTGCAATGACAGGCTGGCGTAAACACCGAACGAAGCTAGACTTTGCTGACTCTGACCCTCTGCTATACCGGGACACATGACACGATGCCTTAGTCTGTTGCTTTAAAGGCTTTGGGTGTTGGTTTACACAATTGTTACCCATCTCGGCCGAGTCGCCGGGGGCGGGGGGTTGTGGGACCTCTTACTGCTGTGGAGCCCTGGTTTACACATACCCTGTCATTCGGCGCCTTGACAAGCTGCCATCTAGCGAAACCTCGCCAAGCCTCGAACAACAAAGGGAAACGGACAACACCCAAACGCAGATGCACACGGCCCTGACGCTGACTTCCGGCAAAGGCCAGTGCTGGCGCTGTCAATGGCATCGCGGAGAGCCTGTGAAAGCTGCTGAGTTTGGACACCTCACCTCCCG